TCTCTACAAGAACAAGATATGGACAGATATAAAAGTGCTTAGAAAAAGAAAAAAAAATTAAGATATTTATTATTTTTGTAATATTCTAAAATAAATATGTTATATATTGATGTTTGTAGGAAAATACTGATGCAACTGAGGAAATGAAGCGTATTTTGATGATGTCAGTTGGATCTAAATGGAGAGAATGGAAGCATGAAGCAAAAAGCAGTGGTTATGACTCATACACCAATGATGTTGAACGCTTAGCTAATCGTCCAGATAGGGTTGAAGAAGATCAATGGCGTGCACTAGTACATTATTGGAGCTCAACTGATGCAAAGGTATTCTCTCATCATCAATCATCTTCTGATATGACATGGAGTTTAGACTATTCTCTAATGGGTAGAGTTATATCTAACTTTTTCAGAAAAAGAGTGAGAGGAACAAAGAAAGTCGGAAGAAGTTGACTATGCCACACACATCAGGAAGAAAGAGTTATTCTCAATTTATAGATAATGTATAACATAATCATTATTTACTTTCTACAATTATATACTAATGCATGTTTTTTAAAATATTTTTGTTTCAATCTCTTACAATTCAAACAGATGACAAAGGAGAAGGGTGTAAAACCAACTCGTATAGATGTGTTCAAAAAAACACATACGAAAAAGAACAATGAATCAATAAATGAAGAAGCTAGTGAAGTTATGGTGAATTCTCATTCTTTATAAATGTACGGTACTTTATTCCATCAGTATTTTGTTAACTATATCTTGCTTTACTTTTCTTTTATAAAGAAAGAAATGAATGATCTTGCTGAGGTATATCCTGAGTTAAATGTACCTGGAAGTGCTCCAAATGATGTGTACTCACAAGTAATGGGGCCAGACACTCTAATGGGGCTAGACACTCATGGAAATGTCCAAACTCTAGGAAAAGGAGCAGCTCCAAGTTTTTTTTATGGCCCATTATATAAGCGATCCCAAAATGAGCAAAGAGATTTTGATAAAAGAGTTGAGATAGAAGTTCAAAAAGTAACCTCTACTCTGAAAATTGAGATGGAGGAAAAGTTGTTTGAAGCGAAAGAAGAAATTGAAGTGAGGGATAAGAAGTTATCGAAAGCAGAGGAGGATATGGAAATGATGAAGAAAAAATTATCTGAAGCAAATATGAATATGGAAGAAAAAATAGATGATAAAGTAAAAGCAGGGATACTAGCATATGTAGATTCTTTGGGTATTACTCTTGGCTCAAATAGAAAATCATTTAGTAATGAGCAGGTAAATAAATGTGTTCACAAAATATTAATTTTAGAAAGTATTGTTATTTGGTTTTTAAAAATATAATATTCTGTCTCTTTTGTGATAGGTTTCTAATAAATCTATTGAAGATCGCCAACAATCATTATCGCCCGTTTCAGTTGTTGACCCGAAAAAGGTGAGTTGTAGCTTTGTTTTGATTATATCTTTGCGTAATTATACTACAATAGCTTGATAAAGTATTGGTACCTGACTTATGTGAAATGCAAGCAATTGATTGCAACATCAACA